GGGTCAGGCGAATGTATGCTTCACCGCGGAATCGAGAAAGCCTTATGCGCATCGAAACGAATGACTTTTATACTCATCGAGTTGCGATATCAGAAAATTCACGCGAACAAATTCATGCCCGCATAATGATCGATTGTGCATGATGGCATTATCAAACATTTCAAACCTCTCGTTCAATTGTTCAACAAGTAGAACATTGAGGCTCGACGCAAGTCTGAGCTTTACTTTGTTAGCATCAAATATGATAATTCGATGTTTAACGCAAATTTTCGCCAATTTTTTCAACAATCGCATGTCAAAACAAAATTTTGCGGAGGATTGTAGATGGTTAGAAATATTTGATATCCACAGAGACTTGAGAATTTCACCTGTGCTGTGAGAGATGAAATCAGTAAAATTGCACAAAGATGATTTCACGTACATGGTACAAGCCCCTCAACTTCTGGACAATCGACAATCATAGTTTAAAGAGGGAGACTGAAGAGAACGAAACCATTCGAACTGGTATGAATATTAAATGCGACGAAATAAGAAGGAGATAGTGCCTAAATGAAGTGCACTTATGCGCGAGAGTGCAAGATTACGAAAGCCGCGGTAATCGCGTGACGATCGCGCGAAAGAAAAAACGCGACTGAAAATGCAAATAGGCAACGCGGTAGGTTTTCGCGGTGGGCCGGAAGTTCGCGGGAGAAATCTGGTGTTAACGCAATTAAGTGATTGAAGGGACGTGCCAGACGAAATCGAGGTTTGCCGTTTCCATTCGACGTGCGCGACACCGACACACGCAACGCGAATGAATGAAAATCTCTCGTTTCAGCCTGACGGCGCGCGGCGCCGGCGGTGGTATGTATGTACAACATGTCGCGTCGCGTCGCGTCGCGTCGCGCTTTGCCACATTGCATCTACTGCTCGGACCTGTTTGTAAACTTTTGTGCAATACAATGCATCCGACTGACAAAAGGAGCTCATTGCGCGGCAAACGTTTAAAGGCATTAATTACGGCCGGGCTTTGTGCCAGTCGCAACGGCAAAAGTTAACAGCTCCGGGCATTATTTTCGTACGCGCGCCGAATTTCGGTTTGTGAGAGCGCACTGTTCACTGTTTGACGTCGTCGTTATTAATCTGTGGTGCGTTTTCCTTTTTGAGGTACTGCGTTACTATCGCGTAGCGCTTTTGCGGATTGGATCTCTGCGTTAGTTTTCTATTATATATGTATCGTATATGGATATTAGCCAGGGGTCCATGAAACAGAAAAGCTTTTTAGAAATTAAAAATAGAAAGACTTATACATGAAAAATTCAATATATAAATGTAAAACTGTACACTGTACACTGTATGTAATCATGAAATATAAATTGAATTTATGCAACACGTGCATGGAAAGTGCCCCATTACGCACGCTACGCGTGCGTGATAGACCACTTTCCAGGCACTTGCAACATAAAATAGGGAGTGTAAGCCGTGTGTAAAGATGAAAATTCCCGGGTGTGGAGTTTACGCACGAGCCGAAGGCGAGTGCGGTAACCGCACCCGGGAATTTTCATCTTACCTCACTTGTTACACAAATAACTATACCTATATAATACAATGATGGTGACGTAGGAGAATTGAAAATAGTTTTCAATATTGAAAGTTGAATGGACAGAACAAAGTACATAATTGCTTCTGCTTAAACTAAATGTATTTTTTCAAATTTATTTTTGAATCATATGAAATCTGAATCTTTATAAAACCTCTTAGATGTATTTCTTAATGTCTATGATTATAAAGATGAGTTGATTATCTCGGAAAGAAATAACTGCAAGATTTTAAAACATCTTGAAAGAACTTTTTTTCATACTGGCATATACCACATCTCAAAAATGATTTAACTAACTTTTATAAAGATTCAATATATACTTCCACTACAAAATTTTTCGAAGAAATGTTTCTTTATAATTCAAGCGCTTAAAAATAGATTGTAAAAGTGAGCATAATAGGTCTTTTAATACGTTATATAACATTTTAATATAAGATCTACATCGAATTTATTAAAAAATTAGAGTTTTAAATTCTAACGATTTAACATTGCATTATCGGAGTTTAAAAAGTATAAATTAAAAAGAGATGATATATTACAGTCTAGGATTGACTAATGATTGTGTCAAGGATTGTCCGTTTAACCGTAATTATTAGCTTACAATTTTGAATCAATATACTTGCAATAGATTTAACTGCTGTTTTTTCTTTACCCTTAATTTGGTTTTTACCTAGTTCCTAATAAAGTTTTTAATAAGAAGAACAATGGAAGGTTCGCTGGGAAAATATAAAGAATATTCTTTATATTTTCCCTGACGTCAGCTAATGTTCATTAAATGAACATTAAAGCGCTCTGACGTATACACACGCGCGTGGACACACACATAATATATATAACATAATATAATATGCTACATGATGCTGATATTTCGAATACGAATGGAAATATAAAAAAAAACTTTCGCCAAATGGCTTCTGAAAACGCTTCCGGCAATTTTAGAAGTGCCTTAGAGAAAAAAAACACGTTCTGATATATATATATATATATATATATATATATATTTATATATAATATGCGTTTTAACTAGAGTTTACAAAGGAATTATTTTCTGAGTAAGATAAGTTTCAATAACATTTTGTATTCTTTTAAAAAGTGAAGTTATTTCATAACTTCGTAAAATGTTGAACATCTAAAATCAATCGTAATTATTAAAAGGACGGCGCCGCGGCGCATGAACGAGATTTTTGCAATCGAATTCAATTTCCATGTTTCAAAAAATCAAAATATATAAGATATACGATTTTAAAACATTTATCCTTTCTTCTTTATAACAAAAATATATAGTTTCTTTTAAGTGCAACTGCTGCGATGTTCAATGTGATTATATTACAGCAACAAATTAAAGATTTTTTTATATGTTATGCGCACCAAGTTATAGATAAATAGCGCGTTATGTCGCAAAAATATTAGTCGGACATCGTGCAACGTAATGGAAAATATATTTGCAAAATGTAAAATGTAGTAAAAACTATTTTTGCTTTCTCAATTTGTCCGGACGGTATATTCTATTGATCTATTCGATTACGTATCATCACTCGAGAGAATTAACGCACGAAAGATGCGTAAATTGGCCAGTTACGAGTTTCCTCCTCGAACCCGGTGATACTACATTCTCATTTATTAGCGCATTTATTTGCAAAGCCTAAAATGCGACCCCTGAAATTCAACAAGTGCCCCTCGAAGCCTGAAGCGAGAGAGAGCGAACGGACGTGCAAGCGCACCCAACTGACATCCAACCTCTATTACGTGCGTGACGCGACTGATCCGACAGGTCAGGGAAGCACGGGGCGCGGGGATAAGGTAGCCGGTGGTGTGGAGGGAGAGGGAGGGAAGGAGGGTAGGACGCTTCGCGAGCGCGAGGGCGGAGTGGTGGGGTCGGTGGGGATCGGAGCGAGGAGCGAGCAGCGAGTTCGGGTCGCTTCGGTCGGCGTCGGCCGCGTCCGGGATTCTGGTTTCTCCCGCGGCCACCTAAGCGGTGTCAGCGTGTGGCGGCGTGTGCGCAGACCGGCTGCGCAGCAGGCGTGTGCGTTGTCCAGATTCTTTGTGCCATTCCTGGCATTCCAAAAACACGAGAGTGACCGTCCTCGTATTTACCCGTGGTGCAGTACCGCGCGTCGATATAACGCCGTGCGACGTTCATCCGCGAAAATAAGGGCCGCCCTCGCGCTCGCGCGCGTGCCGCCACGTCACACAGCTCAGCCAAGTGGTAAGTAACTACACGATAGAAACGTACAGTGCTCGAAACGCCGTACGCGAGCGAGCGCGTCCACGCCCGTGTGGACGTCCTGACGGTGGCGTCGTCTCGCGTCTCGCAACGGGCCCGCGCGCGAGGAACGAGTCCGATCGCAGCGACGATGGCGCGCGTACCCGCGGAGAGAGAGAGATAGACAGACGGACGAAAGAGAGTGAGACGGAGGGAGGAGGGAGCGCGAGAGAGACGCCGTAATCTCGACGTATGTGTGTGCGTGAAAAAGAGATAGCGAGACAGAGAGAAAGACCGACGTAGGACGTAGTAGCGCGCGTATTCCGCATGAGACTCATGAGAGTGCCTCAGCGAGGTGAGCGACGCCGTTATTACCCGCTCCGGCTCCGGGTATACTCCGCGACCGCGACCGCGCGTTCGACTTGTCACACTTGTGCGGTACTTCCGCCCGATCGTGGCGAGCATCCGCCGTCGCGCGGTCGGTCCCTCGCACGTCGCACGTGCTCACGTGCTCCGAGACGGAAAGACAGGTGCGCGTAGGTAAAGAGAGGAAGAGTTTGCGCGAGAAAAGGCGAAAGAAAAATGATCTTGCCGGCAGGCGGTCGACCGAGAGAAAGAAAGTAAGAAAGAAAGAGAAAGAGCGAGAGACGCGCGCTCTCAACCGGCGTGTTTACTCCGTATATAGAGGGCTGTTTACATGGTGCATCCGGCATTCGGAGCGTACTCCGAATCATACGTGTGTTTACACAAGCGTGCCGTGTCGTTCGTGTCAGCTGTGCGCGTCGCAGCGCGTACGAGTCGATTCGCAAGCGCAGCTCAGGCCGCTCAGGGCAGCGCGACGCGACACGGCTCACCTGACCGTCGAGGTTAGGGTTTACTCTCCTCTCGCGGTTGTCGCTCGACGTTCGACGTTCGACGCTCGCGGCTCGCGGCTCGACGGTGGTGACGGTGGTGTGCGTCGGTGGTGTGCGCTGCGTGCGCGTTTCCTCGCTGCCGGCGCGCGAGCGGGGGCGGGGGCGCCGTGACAGAAACGCGTGCTGCTCTCTCCGCCTAGTCGCCTGTCCAGCAGCCCGCTCGCTCGCTCGCTCGTGTCGCTGCTCGCCGCTCGCCGCTTCTAGTGAATTGGTATGGTGAATTATTGATCCGCGGCGGCGTGTGCGTGCGGAAAAACCGCCGTTGGCTGGAAGAGAGAAGAGAGGAAGGTAGGAAGTAGGGGAAGGGGCAGAGAGGGAGAGAAAGAGAGATAGACGATAGAGGGGCGGGAAGGGGTGACGGAGACGGTGCCGCGGAGGCGCGGAGTAGCGGTGGCGCACGGCGCGGCGGTGGCGCGAGAAAGCGCTTAAAGCGAGCACACGTACGGGGTGAGACGTGCGCTGGTTGGTGTGTTGGTTGTATATTGTTTTGAAAAGTGTCGCGGCGCACGCGGACGCACGCGACGTATCACATCACGTTGCGTCGCATCGCATCGCATCGGGTCGCCGTGCCTCGGTCGCGAGGCGCGAAGCTCAATCGGAGTACTCCGGCGAGATCTCGTGTCTTCTCTCCGCTAGACGAGGTAGAGCGAGCAAAGTGTACATTTTTGTGTCTGCCGGTCGTTCGTATACGTAACATATTCGTCGTCGTGCGTCGTGCGTGCGTGCCTGCGTGCGTCTGCTTTGCTCGATCGCGCGTAAACGCGACGGGAAAAACGAACGCGAGAAAAGCGTGTGCCGCGGGGTAATGCACGCGACGCGCGACGAGGAAGCTGCCGTCGGGAGACCGGTGAGTGTCCCGCAGTGACGAGATAACCGGCGCCGATTTTTTCGTCGTCTTCGCGGCGCGGCGCGGCGCGGTGCGGCGACGGGACTACCGCGACGTGAAATCGTCGACCCGGGGGAGTGTTAGTAGTGCATTGTCGTCGTCGGACTACGCCGACGACGGCGACGACGACGACGACCACGACGACGACGACGAGGAGAAGGAGGAGGAGGAGGAGATCAGTGTCGTCGCGCGGAGGAAACTTAGGGGGAAACCTGACGTTTTGTGTCGTTTTGTCGTACGGTCTCTGCTGAGCGCGCTCCGATAATCCCGGAGGAAGGCAACGTCCTATCTTCGCCACCGCGGCTTGGATGGATACTGTGCATTATTTCTGGAGTGAGTTTCTCCCTTTATTCTCTGTGTATGCGTGCGTGCGTGCGTGCGTGCGTGCGAGTGAATGCGAGTGAATGCGAGTCTCCGGCTCTCCGTTCGCTTCGGTCGCCGATGCGTGCGAGCGCGGACGAGCGCGAACGAGCGCGAGAGTGTTCCCCGTAGAAACGTGCGCTCCGCGTATGCCGCAGTCCGCGATTTTTCTAGTCCTCTCTCTTTCTCTCTTTCTCTCTCTCGTGCAGCCGATACAGCGAGACTCCTTTTCCGCATTCTGTTATTCGCCGTGGTCGATCTTGGTCGGTCTCCTCGAGACCGTCAACAGCTGCGCGCGATCACCACACACATCCATTGTTTACGTGTCTTTATCTTACTAAGCGACAGGCGCGCACCTGACCGAGCGGCTAGAACAGCGAGCGTCAGCGCGACGGACCTTACTATGGACGTCACTTTAAACCTACCGATGCGTTTCGGCAAGTTTCGACAGACTGAGACGGCTCGCATGGTCTTTAAACTCACACGCGGCAAAGGCAGTGAAAACGTTATTAAAAGATGGATTTTATTAAGACACACGTCGCGCAGCGAGACACAGATTGTGTACCTGTATACGAGTTGCTGATGAGTTGAGAGACGCTTATTATTAGAATGTTAGATTATTATCGAATCTCACAATAATGGCTGAACCGCGGATAACTTGAGTTTAAATTGTATAATAAAAAAGTGCTTTTATTTTTCGTCTACGAGCGGAGCTATTATGATGCAAAGTTAAATCTGACCGCGCGCTTTATTTGCTTTGCTTTCTAAGGCTGTTTTTTTTCTAATGTATTGATTATAAGACATAACGACAGCCGTAAGTATTACGCGTGACGACGTGCAAAGTTGGTAAAGTATACGTCGTGCACGTGTTCAGGATAATAGAAACGTGTATCGGCTGTAAGCAATAAAACGTCATGAGTTTGGGCGATAAAAAAGCGAGTTATATATCTCTCGAAAGGTACCCTTGCCCTTGCCAAGTTTGAGATTAAAACCACGCGCGGATGGACGTCACGTTCTCTGGTTCTCTCGCCGATCCGCGATCGTTCGGTCTTGTCAAGCGAAGAAAGATCGTTTCCTAAGAATCGATCACGTTGATTTTACTCCTATTACTTATTTAATCCTATCGTCGCGTCGCGTCGAACTCGTCGAAACGTTTCCTTCAACTTTCGCGAGACCTGGCAAATGGGAGGGAAAGGCACGTAATCGTATAATCCGAATCGCGGCGCTAATTTCGCGCCGGACGATGAATCTCGGTGCAATCTCCTTCGCCGGAGCGTGACCGGCCGCTAACGAACGTGAAAGGAAAAACATTGGACGCGACAGTCAGGACGCGAACGTTGCCGACGTTGGCGACGTTATCACACCGGGTTATCGAAAATAATTCCGCGCGAACGCACGCGGCAGTGCATCGTTACATAAATTTAATCCGATAACTCGTCTCCTCGCGTTATCGCGACGGCCGCGGCCGGGAAATCGGGCGCGCGAGCACACGTAGGGACACACCACGTTAACGAGCTGCCAATGCTTATACTTATTCAATATCACCTGAAAGATACTACTTGTTATTACCTTACAGATATCGATTATGCCTCGATATCGCGAGTGATAATCCAGAAATTTACCGTGACAATTAATTACAGAGAGTACAAGTAGCCGATACCTATACGTAATTTATATGTAACTAATTGTCGCGCTATACTACTTGACATTTCGGAATTATCTTTGGAATTATCTCAATGTGCGTTTATTGTTCGTGTTTTCTATCTGATAACATTTTTCGTACGTCGATATTTGGATATTATTATATCCAAGGGAAACGTGATAGAGATTACCTGTTATTGAAGATAAATGATCTATTTTGTAGAAATATTGCATATGTTATTAAATACATGCTGTTTGTAAAAAAGAGTTTATCGCGCTTTGATTAAAGCATCGAACTTGAGTTTTTCTTCAAACGGTAACGAAATTTCCCCCCTGCTTCTTTTCGGAGTTGTCTGCGTCACGGGCTTACTTTCACGCGCTGTCAAAGTTTGATTGCGAACTCGCAATCAAGAGAATTTCCCTTTGACCCTTTGCGAGTCGAACTCGAGCTACGTTCTTATATTTTTGCTCACCTGCGGAAAGTCGCTCCATGCGTCACGTTTAATTTCGCCCATCCACGGCCATCTGACGCGAGCCAACAACGATGAATAATGTAACTTAAGATTATTGATACCTGCGTTCGATACGATATCATCCGCGCGATCTATAAATATCGCGTGTCCTTTGTTTACTGTTCGAAGATAAGCGCGACTTGGCGATTGTGCAGCGAGCACTCGTGTATCGTCGAATGGCCGGTAGGTATCTGCGTGTGATTGATAATTGCGGCCGCGATAAGAATCCGTGTTTCGTCAATAACTATAGCAATTTCCTTTTTCGATAGATGCGATTTGATCACGAAACGATTATGGTTTCAAGTCGATGACGATGACGCAATCGCTCGAAAGTATAGTATAATAATGATGTAATACTTATAACGCAGCTTTTTCGGATGCACGTGTGTTTCATTTCGCATTTAAAGATTGACTATATTGCGAAAATTATATGCTCCTCGATTATTGTTTGATCATGTGGATAGAAATATACTAATTCTATAAGGTGTACCGCTTTGCATATTAAATATAAAAGCGTCGATTATGTATCAAAGTGCCATCAATATTTATTTAACGTTTATTATCTTTAATATTTTTCACATCGCGTTACGCTTCTTTACATCAACGTGCAATCGCAAATTACGGAAATTTTATGAAGAACTATACTGCCACATGAATTTTATACATCGATGTATACATCGAGCTGTGCAACATTTTAATATCCGCCTCGCAGCGTACATCCCGCGCGTTTCTCTATTTTCCGCGAATATCGCCGCAGCCAATTGTGCTAACATTTGCAATTCGTTTCCACTTTCTACAAACAGCGTCTCGAGTCTCGAGTACGCCTGCCCCGCCGCGCCGCGGTCCCGATCGCGGTTCCGTTTGTCCTACGTCGAGCGGCAAAATTATAAATTTCCATTACGATATGACAGAAATATCTAACTTCCTCGGTGGAATGAAATTTTTGCGAGCTGCCCGCGTACAACTTGTTTTCTTCTTAAAGCTCGTTCCGGAAATTACGACCTCGGAAGCGATCAAAGGAAACGAAAAAATTTCCCGCGGTTTGTGCCTAAATAACTTTTCACCGATAAAACCGTTATACAGAAAAGTTGCGGAGATTCGTATATAATATCGCAGCTGTCAAAATCAAAACTTTTATTCAAAGCAACGTAAATATATCACTTTTGATCCTGAAATGATCTTTATTATGTTAACAGATATGTATATGAACTGTATTAGAAATCCTGCAATTAAGTTAACTGACTTTGCGTTGTATTATCTTGATTCAATCCATTTGAATAAGCCGGTTAGAGGAACAGCGTCTTCATTTATCCTTTCGTTCACCGCATCATGATTCAAGATGGCTGACGCGAGTATCGTCGACCTTTAATCGGTAGGGTCGACTCTGAAGTGACGTAGTTTAGTGGAAAGCCGCTTCTCTGTAGCCAGCCGACAGGTGCAACGTGTATTTCTCTCCGTTCCGCTCCTCTCGCTGCGGCCGGACGCGACCGGTCGAGCCTCGTTTCTCTTTCTCGGGCGTTGCACGCACGAGAGCGAGCGAGCTCGAAGAAACCGGTAGTCACCGGTAATCGGTGTATTTCGATAAAGTCGATATTCAAATCCGGCGTCGAATGCTCGAAGAATGTAACACGCCTCCTTCTGTGAGCGATATCGCGTCATCTTTTCGAGTCAAGCGAGTCAAATATATCTTATCGTGTCGAAGAGCGAGATCGGAAAATAGGATAACTCCGGAAATGCATGTTTTTATCACGCTCGACTCGTTTTCTTGACTCCCGAGAGTATCGATACTTGTATTGTTTATTCGCGCCGAGCAACCGAATTTTTTCGGTATTCAATTATCCAGAGGCGAGTTACGTTTTGCAAGACAGACGCGATTTTTCTCACGTATCTTCCGATTACGCGCGGAACATTTTAATCATAATTAGTTGTCGTTATCGTAAGCGAGATATATTTATCGGTAATTCATCAAATTCGACAAACGTCGTTGACTGTTGTGGACTGTGGAGTAACGCGACCGCTGCAAAGACACTTTTTGTCGTGTTTCGATGGAAGGTCAAACTCTCTCAACGGAGGATTGTATGAGTAGGAGGATATATATAATACGGATTATTTTGAGTTGCTACCCTTTGGCGAGATGATCAACTCTCCGCTAGGCAGCTCTCTTGCCGCGGGAGCTCTTTGATCCGTGATACAGCGGCCTTGAACGCAACGTGAGCCGCGCATTGTTAAATGAATGGATTGTTTGTACGCGCTGGAGATTTTTCGCTCGGGGCTACAACTCGCCTTTACTCGCTTCTTCGGTCCCTTGTTTCGTCTCGTTCGCAATGTACAGGATGTTCCATTATTATCTGAAATTAAAAATAGAAAATAAAAAAGATTCATTATATGATTGGATTCAATCTTTTGAAAACTCGAAGCCTTTTTTTCCTTAGTACAAATTTGGAACTTTCAGATATTTTAATAAACAATAAGTAAAGTTATTTTTTCAAGAATTATAACTTATAACGGAAACCGCGGAGTCTTATATATCATATCACAATTGTGCCGAAAGGATCGAGCTAAACCTTCTATTAAAATAGAAACTTATTTCGGTTTGTTCTTTCATCTCACATGATTTCGCATTGTTTTTTATGTTAATTTTGCTAACAAAATGATATTACCACTGTTTTCCTTCATTCGTGTTTCTCTTCTCCACCATTTAGACAGTCAAACATCTTATGGAAAGCAATGAAAGTTGCACAATACCGGTCTACACATTAGGCGCGAGTTTCTTGCGGATATAAATAGGACACCTTGTGTCTCGTTGGTCTACGAAAGGAG